CTCATCAGGAAGTCAGAGTGCCTGGCTGCCCTTCTAGCTTTAGCAGGACCGGTGGAAGGAGGTTTTGATTTGTCCGGCCATACTAGGGCCTGTCATACGGTTTGTGTATGATATGTAGGGTATACAGTCTACTTCGCTAATAACGACTGCGGGTATAACGACAATTCGCGAATAACGACAGCATTTCCATGCCCAGAGCAAAGTCCCTTCCAGCTGTAATACATATGGCCCAATATCTGAGAAAATCGACCTTCGGGGCTGTTTTGGTGAAGTTGATTTTTTTGTTGCAAATTGATGTCTAGCCTTTGTTGAGTATTGTCACTTCGTTTCACGGCCATCAGACCAATATTGACCATGTAGAAATCCATTTTACAGTCAGGAGTCATGTTAATGAATTGTTCTTTTTTTTACAATTTTGAAAGATCAGTGTGTTTGGAGCCACCAAAAATTGTTTCCGTGTGATATCAATAGCCAACTAATATAGTAAAGTGTTTTGACTGTTCAGGTACTTCATTTCCAGCATTCCGTGACTTTATTGAGGTTGTGTAGTTTCAACAGCAGCAATAGCAGCATTAGAAGGAGAGGTGATTTATCTGTTCTCCTGGTGATGGACATGCTTGACAGGATAGTCTGCAATAGATTTTGACGGAACACCATGATACATGTAACAGCATTCACATACTTATTGTGAAGGAGTCAAACAGAGCAAATGCGTCCAGATTCGCTTTGTCACACTTTGTGGAGACTGACCATTTCCAAACATCAGTAACACAGCCTGACAAGCGTTTCACACCACCAACTCAAAAGTAACAGAATGTTACTAGTACTCGAGATTGCCCAGCCTCACGTGCTCCGTGATGGTCTGATTCGCCATTATTGGCTCGAGTATCGAGCTTGCCATCCAAAACATTTTAGGATCATCGTCGCAAAGAAAACTCGCATCATTTCGTGCTGTTTTAGCAGGTCTGGCGTGACACTCAGGAAACAGTTCTGCCACCCGCGCAAGGGCGGCCAGCGACCTTGCAAGCGGCGTACCCTCAGGAATTCACTTGGTTGTCCTTGCCTGGAGCTGTAGCAGCTATCGCTGAGGCAGACTGTGGTTGGCCTTGATCATACTCATCCAGGCCAAGTCCTCATCATCGTCGCCCCCGACAGGTAAGTACCGCGTGTCACTTGCGATCGATTCGACTGACATGCGCTCTCAGAACTAGAAGCGCTGTCGCCGCTTGACAGGATATCCACAAAGAACGATGCATCACCGTCCATGGGATCGCGGCTGCTGTGCTCCGTGAGCCCAATAACCAACTGACACAAGAATCGCCTTCCATTTCCTTCCGCCATTGTCGTCTCTGCACTTTGCTTCGACAGATTCAATTTTTTTTGCGAACAAATTTGTTTTTAGTGTTTTCTCAAAAAAACAGCGTAGCCCCGAAGGTCGAAAGTCTCAGATATCGGGCCATATAATGAGACTTCGGGTATAACGACACTTCGCGAATAAGGACACATTTTTGATGCCCCGCCGAATGTCGTTATAAGCGAAGTTGACTGTACACATGACCTCACAGCCATACCCTACCCTGTCATATAGTTTGTGTATGGTGTGTAGGGTATACACATGACCTCACCAGCATTGAACACGCATTAGTAGTCCAAAAGTCGGTCCGGCCATGGCCTGACCAACCGGGCCTGTTTAACGTTAGTCTTTACATCTGTTGGAAGTCACGCACGTATCCCATTTCCTCTCGCTCTTGCTCGCTCGCTCTTTCTCTCTCTCTCTCTTTCTCTCTCTCTTTCTCTCTCTCTCTCTCTCTCTCTCTCTCTCTCTCTCTCTCTCTCTCTCTCTCTCTATGCTATCCAGGACGATCCTGCTTTCTGTAATCTCTCTCCTGACGGAACCGAACATCTCCTCTCCTGCGAATGTGGACGCATCTGTAATGTTCCGGCGTTGGAAAGAAATGAAAGACAATGCGTATGAGAAGAAAGTTCGGTGAGTCTCCGATGGCAATATACCTCAATATCAACATACCCCAGGCTCATTATGGAGGCTCCTGTGTGTGTGTGTGTGTGTGTGTGTGTGTGTGTCTCTCTCTCTCTCTCTCTCTCTCTCTCTCTCTCTCTCTCTCTCTCTCTCTCTCTCTCTCTCTCTCTCTCTCACACACACACACACACACACACACACACACTTACTTGTACTTGTACTTGTTGCACACTGCCAAAACTGGTAACGTGGGTCTCCCCGGGAGAGGGGAGAGAGACTCAAAAGGAATCTTGGAAAGATGACTCAATTGGCTATTGAACCGCCCAACGGCCGACACCCCCTGAAATCCCCAAAACTCTGGGTGGACTTGAAAATGATCCCACTTATGGGCTCACCACACCTCAGTAAGTGGGTGAGGACAAGGTGCAGAAAAAGGATTGACGGCATCAGGGTATCCGTCCTGGGATCCAACTGCAGTTACCCCTGCCCCCAGTGAAGGTAATACGTGCTACTAGTGTGGGTGGCTAAATCAGAGTGGATCTGATATTAGCTTCACTAGCACCATTGATTACACAAGAGTTAATCTAGCCAGAAGCAGTCCATGGTTAACAGGTATGTATACTTCAAATAGAAAGTATATGAACCCTGGAACCAACAAAGGTGGCAGGTACAACATTACACCTTCATGTAGCCGAGCCCGTTGGCAACAGACCCAACACAATCAGGCATAAGTGTACCCACCAACCGAACTAGCTGGCACACACACACACACACACACACACACACACACACACACACATACACAGAGACACATACACAGAGACAGAGTGAAAGAGTGAAAGAGTGAGAGAGAGTGTGTGTGTGTGTGTCTCTCTCTCTCTCCCCTCTCTTACTCTGTGGTATTCTATCGCCCTGAGTTGCCTAGTTTGCTCTAAACATTTCGCATTTCCCTGTCCGTCATTCCTTTACAGGGGCCTAGTGGCTGCCACGGAGGCTGACGCGAAAAAGGACGAGATTACAGTACCGAAAACACTCGACGACTATGTCCTACACACGACTGGTTCAACGAAGGTGAGAGCGACTCTTGTCTGATTCACTCATGGTACCTCAAATCACTTCGGAGGTGAAACATTTTTTTACAGAAGAAGTGCTGTTTTCTTTGTTCTAAGCAGGGAGTCGTAAAATACCGGGAGGCGACACGCCACACATTTCACGATCCGAGGATTGCCGCACTCGACCCGCGAAATTTGAAGCGTGATTGAAACGTCGTCGTCATCTTCTTTTTCTCAATTGTTTTTGCTATATGCTTCGAGGCTATTCTGGATCTCCAGAGCGAAAGCTGGTTGTTTCTGATACGTACCACGCATTACCTTAGGTTGAGCCGTGGCTTTTAATTTTTTTTTGGAAGTTCACTGCTTTGGAGACGACGGAATGTCAAGGTAAGTTATTCACGAAATGTACTCAAATTTGAATTGAGTCAATGCGAATGACACCCTGTTTTCGGAATAGTTCTCCACTAAACACACCATGCCCATGGCCCCTTCATGTTGTCCAAGTTCCATTCTAGGTTTGTGTGAAGTTTCGAGATGAAGTTCGACGATGTACTCACCTTTCCATGGAAGGGAAAAAAAGGTAGCATATCAAACAGAATCCATGCAGTATTTGATGCCACTATCCTCATTCTTCTGCATTCAAAGTGTTTCACATCTATATGGCCCATGAACTGCAAACAATATTTGTCATTTCTTAACTGTTCATAGCTGTTCATAACTGTTCTGAACACATTGCCTTCAGGAAACGTAAGGCCGAGTCGCCTCACCGACTGAGCAAAGTTCTCTGCGACGAAAGTCACACTATCGGCGAATGCACTCAAGGTGAATACCCGTCAATATCCTGTATACTGCTTGTACCGCTTATCACAGTAGCATACACACAAGCACACATACATACACACACACACACACACACACACACACACACACACACACACACACATGCATGCTCGTGCACACACAAGCGCAAAATTCACATATCACTGGTTCAGTTGTTTTTATCTGTGTCGTATTTTGTCTTATACAGAGCTTCCGAGCCACGCCGAGTCACCTGACCAACTGAAGAAGGTTCTGTGCGACGAAAGTCACACTATCGGCGAATGCACTCAAGGTGAATACCCTGTGGACTATTCACTTCGGGAATAGCTGTTGCGATGACGGACAGCATTTGTTGCCATGCTTGCGAAATATCAGCACCCTTGCATGCCTTCAGCTGGCACACTTCCTGGCGTAGCAGATTTGCAGTACCTGATGCCTTGTGTAACCGTGTCGTAATAACATGCAGGAATGACTCCGTCGCCTCAGTAACACTCGCCTGTCTCATTGTCAGCAGTTTGCAAATTCCATGGATCACTGCACCTTCCATAGGCCTGTACACCATGATGGCACTACCACTCTTACATCGATCTGCACATAGACAAAGTATGGTTTGAGGATGGAGGTTTACATCATCTACGGTGATGATACATACTAGGTACACACGTAAATTTTCAGGACTTCAATAAATATCCTGTCACAGTGAACAGACAATGCATCATGGGCAGACTAGGATGAAAAGGATGGTGTCGACCACCCAATTTATCGGGTCAGTTCGGGCACTTAGGTATGCTACAGATTATACATTCTTGTCCACAAGGAAGAGACAAAAACATGCAAACGAAAGAATCTCACCTGTAGCCCACAGCTGAACATCCCCACAACTCAGGTCACCAAGTGAATACGTGGCGTCATCTACATCTTCCACGGTGGACTCATCACTTTGGCAGTCATCTCTGTCAAGCTCCATCATCCTTTACTTCGAAGGCCAAGGCACAAAGTATTATTACTTAGAAAAACAAAACGAACTGCTGACACTGGATTCGTTGTGTGCAGGATAATTTTATTGAGTTTTCAAATTTTTTGGACCAAACAGCGAACGCGTCCTTTTGCATGACCTGCGCCGCTTTGACCTCATGGGAAGTCCCTCGCCATGCAGCGCGTGAGGTCTCAGCACTCGTGCCCGAGCTGAGGCAATCATCCGACGCGGTTGTGCATCTCCTCTCTGTCTCGTGTCGCCTCCCGGTATTTTACGACTCCCTGGTTCTAAGTTGTTTTCTAGCATGCGTACACCACCGAAATGATATTCGTATAAGCAAGAGTACATAACCCCCAAGAGTGTGCAACTCCAGCTATGGGGTCTGCGACGGCAGAACTTCACATCACGTGATGAACCTGTACACATTATTTGCACTCTGTGCATGATAGATACAGGGTTGTATGCAGCCCAGCTTTGGGTACAACTCTCTTGTGGTCACTTTGCACTGTTTGCCAGCATAACCTTTTGAACCATGTCACGTGATGTGAAGTTCTGCCGTCGCAGCACAGCATAGAGGTTGTGCAGGCAGTTGCACACTCTTGGGGGTTATGTACTCTTGATCTTGCTGGAAATCCCGTAGCTCTACCAACTTTTTCCTGGTAGAGCCGGTAGAGGAAAGTAGAATCTACTCTTTTGAGTAGATTTTTTTTCAAAAAACAAACACCTTTACCGAAAGAAGTAGTTTCTACCCAAACCTGTAGATCAAAAATGAACGCCCCCTAAGTGTCCCCCATGCGAATATCATTTCCATAGTCTATGCATGTTAGAGAATAGCTTAGAACAGAGAAAACAGCCATGCGCCGTGCAGCAAAGGCCACTGAGCTGCAGTCAGTTGCTCGTGCCATGGAGGAGAAAGAGAATGATTTGAAAGGACTATGATGACCATGTTGACACCCATCGATATCTGTAGTTATCCTGGGTCATTCCCTTCGTGCTCTGTCGTGTCAGCCTTTGGTGTGTTTGAGTTGACTGTTCATTTATTTTTAGGGCTGAAACGATCATGGATTTTCACCTATCGATTACTCTTTAGCTTAACGATCGAGTAATCGATTATAATCTTTAGCAAATAGTGTCAGAATTTTGTGCAAAAATTATCCTGTTTCCAAAAGCTAGGCCTTCATAATACCAAAAATCTGCATTAGTGGCAGGGAAGCTCCAAAACATGACAGTTTTGAAGTCAATTTAACCCTTTGTGGACGGACCGTACGAGTTTCGATCTAATAAGATCGAAAGTCTGCAGGCGGTAAAATCTTCGTAACTCCATCGTTTCTTGAGCAAATTCCACAATCGAAGGGTCTACATGGTAGCGGAAACTCCAAGCTGTCCAATGCAACAATCGCCGAAGAGTTACGATGCCAGACGCCAGAGATATCGCACGCCGTATTCTTACCTCGGCAAATTCAAATTTTTGATCGATCATTTCGCCATTTTGGGGGAAAATCCCTTTTCGTGTGCTCTTTGAGTGACTGAGCACAAGATAATGACGTAGCCGGCAGAAGTTTGAATCGTCTCAAACAGATTTGAGCGTTCTGCGATGAAGGAGAGTGGAATGGCGTTGATGGGACGAATTTGCTTGCATATCAGGCTTGGAGACGACTTTGCGGTGTTACCGCGCCTGATTTGTGGCGGCTGGATAATGGAGATTGGTACCCTGGCGTTGCTCTCGCCAAGAGCTTTCCAATGAGCCCTTGATTGTGAAAATCAAGTGAAGGACACCAAAGTTATGACATGAAAAAGTTGAAAATTGTACTGACATTTTGTAATTCTGGTGCATACTGTGCTAGTAATCCGTCCATAAAGGGTTAACCTCAGAATATGCACCATGCCCCTGGCAACTGCATACACACAGCGGAAACTGATTCGAACTTCACAAAAACGAGGGTTTTCAGTACTTTTTGGACTCAAAATCTCTAACGAGTAATCTATAACGTAACGATTACTTGATTGATAAGGAATTATCGATCGATTACCGAGTAATTGGTATAATCGTTTCAGCCCTATTTATTTTACATTGTCACAATTTGTGGAATCTTCAGGCTTAGTGTTTTGCCTTCTGTTTCTTGCTTTCGAAAATTAATCAGTCGATTTCCTAATAGGACCTATCTTTTTAAATGCTTTGCTGTGTCGTGAATATGTCTGAGGCACAAGTCCTCACGGCATGCGTTATTTCAATTTTTAATTCTGCTGCTACGTGTTCGGTGTACTGAGGCAGTGAGGGCCGATTGACGTTATTTTGTTGTTTTCAATTGAATTTGCTACTTCGTGTGGTCTGGAACTTTGAAAAAATAGTCTGGAAAAGGTCTGGAAAATGTGTTTGATTTCACTGTGCGACCCCTGAATTGTATGTATTTGTCTGTGCACGTGTGTGTCACTGTGTGTGTGTGTGTGTGTGTGTGTGTGTTTGACTGTTGTTGGCATGCGTGCGTGTCACGCGCTTGCCTGTGTGCGTTTTGTGCTCACCCACCAAATCTCTTTTTTGTGTCTTGTGTCCGCTTGTCAAATCTCTCTCTACGTGCGCACAGCCAGATAGCTATTACTTTATGGACCCCGAGGACATGCTCTGCGGCTACGACGACGACGATGAAGACGAGGATGGTGACATTGGGTACGAGGAGGAGGACGGCGATGATGAACAGATGTTCTATGGCGACGAGGGTGTGGAGGATGATCTCAAAGCACCGAATGGTGGCAAGCCGGCAGAGGACAATGACTCCGGGATGAACTGATTCAGAACTTGTCGTATCCACCTTGTCCATGAACGTACGTTGAGCGTATACGCGTATACCTTCGCCAGTGTGTGTGTGTGTGTGTGCCGTGATTTCCCTTGACCCATTAGTGTACATGGCTTAGTGACTGGGTGTGGCAGCACCTCCGGCCTTTCCCCATTGTACATAGCCATACGCTTGCTCACTCCCATGCCATGGTGTGTCCTGCATCTCTTGAGTACCTCCCTACCCCTCTCTCTCTCTCTCTCTCTCTCTCTCTCTCTCTCTCTCTCTCGATCTCTCTCGATCTCTCTTTCTCTCTCTCTCGATCTCTCCATATGGACATCCTCTTTACTTGCGTCTCTTACCTATTTCAATATTTTCGTTTCTATTTTTTAAAAGAGTTTTATCAAGCCCCATCACAGGCCGCTAACGCGTCGGAAGTCTGCTGCACATCCACCGAAACTGTATCGTCTTGCTCCCGTTGTTTCAACCAGCGGTAATATTTCTGACCACTTTGCCCTCTACAATTTATCCTCCTGCCGTTGATTGTCCACTGTTTTACCCTTGCAGGTTTTTGAATCGTGCTTTTTGAGTATATCTCCTTGCTGACCTGCAATGGCGGAAGGCAAGTGCTTGCAGTGCTGATAATATAAGGGTTTCTCTGTCTTTGCCCATTCCGTTTCTCTCGCCGTGCTTACCATTTTCCAGCGTACTCCTCAAAGTAGCACCCTCCCCCCCCCCCCCCCCGTCATTAGCGTAGAGTGCTTGCTGTCCGCTCTGTCTGTTCCCCTTCTGCAGCGACGTTTCCGACTTTTAAGTCTCGCTTCTTCTTCATAGGTGCCTATTTATCTGATGTCCGTCGTTTTAGCCCCCGCCGCCACTGCGGTGTAGATACGTGCTGTCCTCTAGGTGATTTCATGCCGAGCACTCGTCTTGCATGGATGTCTGTTGCCGGGTATTTTCTATGGAGCAAATACTCGACCTATTTTCTCGTCTTGCAGGGATGTGTTTGCTGTGTGTGTGTGTGTGTGTGTGGCTATTTTCTATCGGGCAAGTGCTCGACCTACTCTGCTGGTCTTGCATGGAATTGGATCTGTTCGCCGTGTGTGTGTGTGTGGGGGGGGGGGGGGGTATTTTCTGTTGAGCAAGTGCTCGGCCGATTCTGTATTCTCAACTGGAATTGTGGTTGGTGTCCAGGGAGTCGTCAACTATTTGCCGACTCCCTACCCGCGTCAGCACTGCTCCAGTGCAGGGCCACGTGTAGCACCGAGATTTCAGGACAGGTGGTGGTCCGTCTGGCCAGATGCATGGGACCCGTGACCGGAAATCACTGAGAATTGATGGAAATGCAATGAATAAAACTACTGAACTCGGATAATGAGCCAGTATGAAAATTAATGTAAAATAGAAGAAGAAAGATAAAAAGATATTAATATTTTGAGCAAGTATATCAGTGTTTAATGCATACATGACATGCACAATCAGTCATGTACTTGACTTGTTACACCAGCCTCACCTTCTATCCTCTTTTTTACATGCACTACTAATACTATACTATGCACCGTATTCATGTATTGTTCCCACACACTTTCTAGGTTGACCTTAGATAGCACACTGGAGACCTTTTGATGCATTTCACTTTCAACCCCTTTTAGCTATCTATACAAAGTCAAGTACATGTAGTACAATTTGTTCCCAAAATAACTTCGGGACAGTCTGTTCATGGTTTTCATTTGTATTGGACTCGTTCTCTACACTTGCGATAATTTAGCAGCAATTCTAACGTTGTAGCGTTGTTCTCTTGTGTGGAACCTGTATTGAGTAACTGAATTTTATGTTTCGTTACATTGTCGACAGATCTCCTGTGTACCGGTTTTGTGGCACAATGATTATAGCCATTATAATTATTTTGTCGTCTCCATTCTTGTACAATCATGCATATGTAGGTTGGTTCTCTTCATGTTATTGTGACCAATTTCATAGATGTTGGTAGCCTTGTTGCTTTCTCTCCCCTCTCCTCTCACCCAAGCCATTCTGCATAAGCGAAGCTGTGGACGCAGCATACTGCTGCTACACTTCAACGCGGGAATGCGTATAATAATAATAATACAAAGTCATACTATTACAAACAGCTGTACATACATGACTGTACATCCGAATGCCCCTTTCATTTGTCCTCCTGGTACTACAGTCAACGTCGCGAATAACGACAGCATTTCCGTGCCCAGAGCAAAGTCCCTTCCAACTGTAATACATATGAGACTTCGGGTATAACGACACTTTTTTGATGCCCCGCCGAGTGTCGTTATAAGCGAAGTTGACTGTATTGCACACCTGCATGTAAACGATGTATTGTACACCCTTCTATTCAGTTCTTCCTCTAAACGTATTCCCCTTGCACAGCCACAGGTGCCATGTCCCGACCTTTCCCATTCTGCTGCCCACACGATCATGTACCATGTGGTTTGACCTTTCTTCTTACTTCTCTCTGCTCTACGTATCCCCGGACCATAGGTTAGCTTACTTGCAATTCTCACCCTATAAAAGCTGTACTGCTGCCTTTCTAGTTTCCTACAGACCAGGTCTCCACAGATCAGTTCCTACCTCTTAGTTTCCTACTAGATTCTGACTCTCTCTCTCTCTCTCTCTCTCTCTCTCTCTCTCTCTCTCTCTCTCTCTCTCTCTCTCTCTCTCTCTCTCTCTCTCTCTCTCTCTCTCTCTCTCTCTCTCTCTCTCTCTCTCTCTCTCTCGCTGTGAATAAGTGTGCAATTCCGTATGAGAACCAGCACCCATTACTGTAACCGCATGCTCTACCGACTGAGTAAAACCCGGACTTTTAAGTAACCCGGACTTAACATCAGCGCATTGCGAAACAGGATCTGGCCTGCTAACTCTAGAACCAGGGAGTCGTAAAATACCGACTCCCTGTCTAGAACCGTACATCACTCAAGTGTATGTACAGTATGCATGAGTTGCCAAAGCGCCTACATGCATACAGGCTATTATTGATTTGTAGTCACCGACGTGAATAGAACAAACCACTGTATACTGTAAAAGCAGAATTTTTCGGCGGTGCTTTATTTTCGGTAAGTTCGGTGCCGACAATTTTCACCTAAAATAAAACGCACCGAAAATTTCGGTACTATAGGCTTTAGTACTACGGCCTCTTGTACGGACCGGGCTTAAAACAGTGATAACTGAGACTGTGTGCAAAAATCAGGGGACGGGTCAATCAGTCAAATCACCAGATAGATATACAAGTAAAAACTATGATAGTTATTAAATAAATTTTAACAGTTGAATGATTCGTACTTCGATGTACCAAGCATCATCATCATCAGAGGACCGCCTGCGTAGCCGTTTTCGATCGGTCTGCCCATATCATAGACTTCTATACTTTGTGTGTGATATTAATTATTGCCGGTACACATGACCTCTTCAGCAGTGAGCATGCGTTAGTGGCCAACAGTTTGGTGCGGTGAGGTGATGGCCTGACCAACCGCGGATCAACTCCGCCGGGCCTGCACCAGCATCCTCTTGTTCAGTAATAGAGTCCGGCTTTGACATCGGACGTGCGACGCTGGAGCTCACGTTCGTCGCCGTCGAACACGTCGTCGCCGAGTAGGCGCGTGCGCACGCGCTTGTACAGCCACTTGGCGAAGAAGTAGACCAGGTTGACGATGATGTCCAGGAACTCCAGTATGGAGAGCGCCGAGACGCCGACGAACAGCCCGATCGTACCGCCAATGTAGGACAGCAGGTCGACGATCTGCACGACAAGAAACGGGTGACGGTGGTGAAACAGTTACTTGTACATGCTCACAAAAGCGGGAATAGACTGGTTTCACATCTATCACTTGACCACTTGGAGCAGCCATGTTGGTTCCAACGCTACTCAACTTTCACATCTATAGGTCACATGATGTTGGCCATGTTGGTTCCACTGTCCACATGACATGATCACTTTCTGCACAAATTTAGTCACATGACATGATCACTTTCTGCACAAATTTAGTCACATGACATGATCACTTTCTGCACAAATTTAGTCACATGACATGATCACTTTCTGCACAAATTTAGTCACACGACAAACTGATGTGAGACACCACTCTATATTCCCAGATTGCATGAGGCTGCAAAGAAACTCCAGGCTGACTACTCCTACCTAACATAGTGCTAAGCCCGGCATTCGCAAAGTCAACACAACCAACCCGAATATGTACGCAATAGGGGGGAATTCCCTGATTGTTGATTCGGCTAGATCGCTCAACACCGCACGGATGGAGCAATACCATAAAGGCAGAGGAGGACGGCGACAATCGGTGAAATCCTTGTCGTAACGCTGTGCGTTCCATGCCCATAGCACGGCTATGACAATCCGTAGACAACTGATTAGCTGTCTAGTGTACACGCTCATGTGTACAGACGGACGACCCAGAAGTACGCGTAAAACATAGATGTAATAGCAATAAAGAGAACAAATTCTGCTGTCATCGCCACACTACAACAAAGTCATGAAAGTTTACCAAAATCGATTCTTCAGTCACGACTTTCCACTGATGATTGTGACAAGAAAATCAATTTTGGTAAACTTTCATGACTTCGTTGTAGTGTGGCGATTACAGCAGAATTTGTTCTCTTTATTGCTATTATAAAATTGTTGTCTCCACGTCGATTATTTAAAAACATAGATGCTTCAAGCTACCGAGACCAATTAATTTTAAATGGCGGCCTTGATAATAGTATAGTGCCATACTTGCCGGCAGAAATCCACGATGAGACTCATCGGGGTCTACGACGGTTGAACGCGTGCTATCGAGGTCTCAATCACAACCCAAGACAGGACGGCGTTAATGCCATTATCAACGGATTGAGCTACAGTAAAACCAAGTGTGAGCGACCTCTGGGTTTAGCGACCACCTGCTCTTAACCCTTTACCATCCGACCAAATTTCCCCAGCAGTCCCAAATGCAATAATTCTCACCTTATTCTGAGAATATCTTCGGTTCTAATCAACCAATTTTCACAATCCTGGGCATTCTGGAAAGCTCTCCACGAGCTGCGTACATTGAGCTCAAACAGGACACTACCGAGATCACATATCCAGCGCCAGGGAGCTTCAAATACACCCCATCGCTGGATATACGAGGAAATTCTCTCCTCGCCAGCCATTTCTCGCTCCTTCATCGTAAACATTCCAATTTTTTTTGCTTGAGTTTCTTTTCATGCTGCCCACGCGCTCAAAGCATGCCAAAGTGACTCAGCATGTCAGGAGAGGGGAAAACCCCCGCTCAAGGTCAGTCACTCGTAAAGAAATTCGACTTTTGCCGTAGCTGAAATGTCGAGCGAAATATCTTTGGAATGCGACATCGCAGCTCTTTACCGATTGATGCAATGGAAAGCTGGGCTCTTCGGCTTCTTCCTAGATACTTAGTTCTTTAAATTCCGACAAGAATTGATCGAGTTACGAATGTTTTAGTGTATGCTTGTCCATCGATCTCTAGAGATCGATTCAAGTACACACGGATGGTAAAGGGTTAACGACCGTTTTTCTATGCACCGACAGTTCTACACAGGCACCGTGGGACCTGGTTCTAAAGACCACCTGGCTGTAATGACCGCTTGTGCTTGCACCGTGGGGTGGTCTTAAACCAGGTTATTACTGTATTGACAAGTGCAGTAGCTAGAAGGCGAGTTGCTGTTTCGAATTCTACATTTTCAACCCTTCAAAAATCACCACATTTCCACCATTTTGAAAATTGCACTTGATTAAAAGTTGCCCCCCCCCTCCCCATTTTCAAGTTCAGCCATATTGCTTCCGTATCATGAAATGTCCGCCGCACCCCTTCTTTGCCCTTGAAGTTTAGAGTGTAAAGAGGTGTGAGTTATAAGAAATTAGAGGCCACATGCCTCGTACTGCTCTTTTTCTCTCCGAAACTCAACACTTGCAAGCCAGATATGAAAGAAAAAAGAGCAGTACGTAATTTACTAATACTTTGAAATTCTCCGTGAAGTGCAAATTTGAAATTGCAAGATGCATGTTGTATTTGGGCAAATACGGTAGGCACCAGCGCCATCAGCCATGCATACTGTTATAGACACGTTATTTTCGGTGTGACTTTAATTTCCGTAGAGAAACCAGGCACCTATAATGTTTAGATTACGACTAAAAGGCACTCGAGTATGCACTATCGGCAACGGGAATGTTGGTCACCTAATTCTACAATACACTTGAAACTTGTCAGGTCCCTGGCACCGAAATTTTTATATACATGTACTAGTACTGTAAAACCGGAAAGTCTAACGACCAAACAGTATAACATTTTGTATTTTTTGCATAATAACGCGCAGAAAGTTTAACGATAGCTACCTGACCACCCATCTGCATGCGCATCTTTATGCAGACATCTAAACCCGGGTTCGCGATAACGTTTCTTCAAATAGCAGAACAAATTGGCCATTAAAACGTTAGACTTTGTGACTCGTTAGACTTTCCGGTTTTACCGTAAACCCAAATTTACATGTTCTGCACAGGACCGGCGGAAGCAATTTTTAATTGGTCCTGCCATACCCTAGCCAAGTTTCATACAGTTTGTGTATGATATGGAGGGTATACACATGACCTCCTCAGCAGTAAACACACGTTGGTGGTCAAAAGGTTGGTCCGGCCATGGCCTGACCAACCGGACCGGTTCCGCCGGGCCTGCAACAGTAGCCTACCTCAAGAGCTGGCCGCTGTGTGACCGTCTGGAAGTTGAACTCCTCAAAGTACACAACCGCTTGTATGTAGTTGTCTCTGGAAAGTGGAAAGGAAAAAGAAATCGAGGCCCGAGGATTAGGATGTGCACAGTGTGATGGTCCGCATCAGGGAGTCGTAAAATACCGGTAGTTTACGACTCCCTGGCTGTGTGACCGTCTGGAAGTTGAACTCCTCAAAGTACACAACCGCTTGTATGTAGTTGTCTCTGGAAAGTGGAAAGGAAAAAGAAATCAAGGCCCGGTGATTAGGATGTGCACAGTGTGGTGGTCCGCATCAGGGAGTCGTAAAATACCGGTAGTTTACGACTCCCCGGCAGTCATGCACTGTACATGCACATCTCAGGGATGTAGTACTGGTGTATATCGTCATGGCAACAGTGCATTGTCGGCAATGCTCTTGACCATATTATTATGCTGCTGTTTTTGCTGGTCTGGCAGTCGAAGAATTTGAGAAGACACAATGCGGCAGGGATGTCACAGGGCGGTGAGGAGTGGTATGACCTGGGCCAGAGGTGTCCTCCGAGAAAACAAAGCTTCTTTTTTCGGTCAACAGGGCACGTTTTAGCGCTCTTCTATTGCTTTTTCGGAGAATCGGGCGGACCACCCCGGACAAAACGTGGTGCGACCTCGGTCATACTGGTCACACCGTGTGCCGGTGCCTCCCCTGCGAAGGCTGGCTGTTACTTCTTTTCGTGTGCTTGAGTCTGGAGTCTTGCATGTCCGTACGCAGCATGATACACCTTAGGGCGTGGGCTGTGGCCGCAATGGACTCTGCATGGCCGACAGGGAGAGAGAGAGAGAGAGAGAGAGAGAGAGAGAGAGAGAGAAAGAGAGAGAGAGAGAGAGAGAGAGGGATGGAAGGAGGGAGAGAGTTGAGGGTACTAGTATGCAACATACCGAATTTTAGCCGTGACTACGTCATCATCGATGGTACGATTTTCCTCTGCCAGGCGAGCAAACAGTGCTGGCTGTAAGGATAGCATACCGCCGTGTCCAGGCATGCACACACACACACACACACACGCACACACGCACACACGCACACACACATACACACACACACATATATACACACACACACCAACACACACACCAACACACACACACACACACACACACACACACACACACACACACGCGCGCGCACACACACGCACACACATACACACACATACATATATGCACACACACACATACACATGCACACATACATACACATGCACACACACGCACACACGCACACAGAGGGGATGGATAACGTTAGCTTGCTATACTTGAACCACCTTATGCCACCATGATCATACCCACAGTCAGAACAAAATAAAAGGGCCCAGCTACTGTACAAGCAGAAATATTCCTCTGGAATTTAAGTTCGTAGAATTTCACCCAGCACAGCATACAGTCAGACCTCGCTTATCCAGTCCTCTTTTATCCGGATCCCTTGCCATCTGGAAGAAAACAGTTGGTTACCGATTTACAGCGTATGTCATGCATACATACAGTATGTGAGTTCGATTATCCGGTTCCCTCGCCTACTAGTATCCGGATATTTTTGTGAGAAGCGGATGTGTGCGGTTAACCAAGCGAGGTCTGACTCTACCAACGTATACTGTAGAGGCAGATCATTTCGTCGGTCAATAATTTTGCCCAACTCCAAAGAAAGGGAGTTCGTCCGGCGGAAAATTTCGTCCATGGATCATAAGAGTGTATTGAAAACATGGACAAATCGACATTCGTCCGGCATTTGATTTAGTCCAAAAGCTTCTTGGACGAAAAAGACACGAAAAAGACGAAATTAAATTCCAGACGAATAGTTCTACTTATACAGTGCACGGTGCCTGACCTGTGCATGGGTTGCAATACATGAAAAAAGAACTGTCTAGGCTCTAGCCCCCCCCCCCCCCCCACACACACACACTTCTTCGGCGACCGACAGTACTATAGGGTGCGCACACAAAGCCATTGACATCCCAAAGACAGCCACAGTACCAGCCTCAAAGCCATTGACATCCCAAAGACAGCCACAGTACCAGCCTCAAAGCCATTGACATCCCAAAGACAGCCACAGTACCAGCACTTCCTCCCGCATTTCGCGCGCATACCTCATACTGCTTGCTCGGCCAGCGCTCCGATGAAATTGATTTCCGGAAGATGACGCTCCTGCGTGATACAAGACAACACACCGCAAGATCAGTACGGCAATTGGACTGACATGTTAGCCTGGCTTACACTTCCCATACTGTACTATAAAGCGATAAACTTTCGCGGCGCACAAATTCTGCATTTTCATGAATCGGTCTTGTTCACGATGAGAAACCTTTGCGATTCTATCTCTTCAGTTGGTTCCTGTACTGCCTGCAATCAATGTACGGAGCAGGTTGCAGCGACACATGGTGTCATGGAACCCGACTTACCGACAGGGATCTTCGCAGTCCTGGCAAATCAGGTCCGTCTTGAATTGTCTGTCCACCTCCGCCAGGCAATTCGCTGCAAGACGAAAACGTGAGCACAAGCAAACCGGGGGGGGGGGCTTGAAACAGCTCAATCACGTTACATGACACTGTATGTATTGTATGGTACTGTCAGGCGCTTTTAAAGAACAAACAGGCTAGGATTCATTCACCAAGCACAGAGTACTGATATTTACACGGTGACTCAAATAGGTGTCAAATAGGTGAATCAACTGTGCATAGGCAGGAGTACATTTTAACAATATGAGCGGGCAAGGCTACAAGGCTAACCCTCCCACTTCCCCGGAGTTTTTCGTCACCCGACGGTACTGCTTTGACTGACAACAATCTCAGTGGAACAAGACGAACCCGCTTGCTAACGTTAGTAGACTCTGCGGCAGAGGTGCCCCCTCGCGTGACCAGTCATGACAGTGAGCAAGCATAGCCCGGCAAGTACAGCATGTATGTACATTAGGGTTCCCTGTAAAAAGGCGATGACGCCTGCTGGGAATTCCCTAGTAAAATGAGAATAAAAATAAAAAATTTACAAAAGAGAAAGGACCAAGGAACTACAAGTTACGCTATACTACTACTGCACTACTATACTGGGTATACTGTTACCGCATGAGCTGATTGTTTAGTAACTGGTGGTGTTAGTGGACAGTATAGCGTAACTTGTAGTTCCTCTGTCCTTTCTCTTTTGTATAAATTAAACCTTGGCTCTCCGTCCGAGTCCAAAAATAAAATAAAAATAAAAATGTACGTGTGTACTCGTACCTTGTTCAGGATGGTTGTAGGCGTGGCATAGCCTGGCGTCCTTGTCGATGTAAGTGGCGTCCACGCACTTGCACTCGCGTAGCATGTGCTCGGCGAGGCACTCGCGCAGGCAGCCCTGCATGTCGCACACGCCGCGAACAAAGAGCAGAAAAATCCTGATGTCGAGGATTGTCCAAAATCAGCGCCGCCACGTACCAGGCCCGGCGTAACCGGTCCGGTTGGTCAGGCCACGGCCGGACTAGCTTGTTGGCCACGAACGTGTGTGTTTACTGTGATTGCTGAAAAGGTCATGTGTACCCCCTCCATATCATACACAAACTGTATGACAGGCTAGTGGGGTATGGCCGGACCGATCAAAAACTGCTTCCACCGGTCCTGCACGTGCACGGTGTACCTGGAGATTTGCACACCCTATCTGTGCATGTACGTGCACAGATAGGGTGCCTGTGTGTGTGTGGGGGGGGGGGGGCACAGTGTGTGTGCGGGGGGGGGGGGGGGGCACGGTGCGTGTGTGTGTGGGGGGGGGGGCACAGTGTGTGTGTGTGGGGGAGGGGGGGGCACGGTGCGTGTGTGTGTGGGGGGGGGCACAGTGTGTGTGTGTGGGAGGGGGGGGGGCACAGTGTGTGTGTGGGAGGGGGGGGGGGCACAGTGTGTGTGCGGGGGGGGGGGGGGGGCACAGTGTGTGTGCGGGGGGGGGGGGCACAGTGTGTGTGCGGGGGGGGGGGGGGCACAGTGTGTGTGCGGGGGGGGGGGGGGGGCACAGTGTGTGTGCGGGGGGGGGGGGGGGGGGCACAGTGTGTGTGCGGGGGGGGGGGGCACAGTGTGTGTGTGGGAGGGGGGGGGCACAGTGTGTGTGCGGGGGGGGGGGGGGGGGGGCACAGTGTGTGTGTGGGAGGGGGGGGGGCACAGTGTGTGTGCGGGGGGGGGGGGGCACAGTGTGTGTGTGGGAGGGGGGGGGCACAGTGTGTGTGCGGGGGGGGGGGGGGCACAGTGTGTTCTGACTTCACAGGTCCCATGCAATATAATTATATGTAACATATTGGCATAACTACACAGTGCTATAATAGAGAGGTTAAGATGCACGTTATTTCTGACGTGACACGCAATTTCACGTCAAATTTGGCGTAAAACTCGAAATTTCCACGTGCGCTGCAGGTCACTCGCGTTGTTTTCCAACGTGCGAGACAAATAACGCGAGATGAACTTTCGCGTCACGTCAGAAGTAACGCGCATCTTAACCTCTCTATTCACCTCTCCTAGAAACCGGCAACCTGGCATGCACAGTATGAACATACCCATTTGGTGTAGGTCGTGGCATTGCTACTGGCCAGTTCTTCCTGAGGATTGCCTTCCTGGCAGTTTCCGTAGGGTCGACCTTGTCGCTCAATGACCACCTGAACAAGATAGTTAAAAGTGTTATCAGTGACGAGAACAAAAGCACACAGAGCGTGGACACACGATCAATACTAGTATTCACATCTGTGTGGCCGACCAAGCACGTAGCAACGCTGTTGGAGGTGATCCGGCCGGAGGGGGGTCGGGGGGGGGGGGGGGGCGTCAGGGGGTTCTCCCCGTGAAAAATTTGAAACTAGGGTGCAAAATCCTGCATTCTGGGCACTTTTGGCATTGTGTTAAAAAAGAAGTCGCCCGCCAAAGCCGGACCGGCTGCTACTCCCCTACAGACGTGTTCCGACCCATATCAGGCGCATAGTCATAACCCCCCCCCCCGGGTGAGCAACTCCAGTCTATGGGAAACCGCCCGCCGGAACCGGTTCGGTTGGTCAGGTTACCACGGGAACAACTTGTTGGCCACCAATGCTTGTTTACAGCTATTGAAGACGGTCATAAAATGATTACAATTTTAAAAGATCGCTCAAAACACACACTCAGTACACATGTACGGTCTCTGAACTGCAATTACCAAAAAATTAAAATTAATTTTCCATCAATATTTCGGCCCTGGGCCATCATCAGTATTGATAAGAAAACTATACAATTATAATGTTCCCGCTATGTCAAACACAAACTGTATGACAGACTATGGTATGACCGCCGGACCAATTGAAAACTGCTCCGGGCGGTCCTGATGGGGTCTGAGGTTGTGCAGGCAGTTGCATGCTCTTGGGTATGTACACTTAGTCTTGCTGAGTTGGCAATTGCAGCGGTACTGCAAAATGCGGGCACTAATAGGTCATGCCATTGCATTGATGATGACCTGGTTCTCCCTTGTTCACTGATTCTCTCTCTCCCTCCTTCCCCTCTCTCTCCCCATGTGTGTGTGTGTGCCGGCGCGCGCACACACACACACACACACACACACACACACACACACACACACACATGCACACACTGAAACACACTGAGCTGAAGGGCGCGCACCGCACCGCACACCATACCTGTCTGATTCCCACGTAGGTCTTGAAGCCGGGCGCAAGATCGAAGCCGTCGTACTCCGGGAACGCCTGCTCGCCTTGCCTGTGGATCACCATACGAATACCGGCTGACTGGGTGAGTTGACCGATGTAGTTCAAACTCTGCTCGATGTCCAGCTCCATGAGAAGACCTGTTACACAGTCATGCCGCACATGATTGTAGATACTCTTACATACCTCAAATCTAACACTCCAAATGACGGTCGCCAGGGGGCTGTCGCACACACGGCACGACCAGTATGACCATGGTCGCGCACCACTTTTCGTCCAGGACGGTCGGCCCAGCGTGATTGTAGAGCCGTACAGCATGTTCTGTTGGCTGAAAATCCGATTCTCTCCCCCCCCCCCACACACCCACCCAATGAACATATTATAGGGAAGAAATGTCGCTCGTTAAAACGTTATATTACTTTATAAGAAAAAACGGACCAAGAAACTACTACAAGTTACGCTATAATGTCCACTAACACCACTAGTTACTTTACAATCAGGTCAGGCGATAACATTACACGACACTGACCGCGACGGTACTGACGTTCTACACCTAGCCGGCAATCAGCTGTAGCACATCTTGGATGCGCACTCCAACAGCCTTCCAACTTGGAAGGTTCTAAGTTAGTTATAGAAAAAAACATAAGGAGGGGAAGGTCTTTGACCCTCTTTTCTTCTTAAATAAATTAATCCTCGGCTCTCCACCCGAGTCTAATTACTTGTATTTACCTCCTCGTTACCGTAGTTACATGTCTTTTTAACTCTTACAGTAAATCTAATGCACGTGCGGAGGAGAGGTTGTTGACTAACCATATGTAGGGCCAACACGCTCCGTTCTCAGCACTCTAGCCTCGTCACCATTGAAGGTGTAACAGTTGCCGTAGCGACCGTTCTGAAACTGGGTGAAGTTGCTGGAGACGACCAAGGGACACACATATCGAATGCACACACACACACGCACACACACACACACACACACACACACACACACACACACACACACACACACACACACACACACACATAAAGTTCATAAACGCACAAACACATGCACACACACACACACACACACACACACACAGCAGCATTGCTTCAATGCTCTCTAGATCAGAGCCATGGCGTAGTCCTGATGACTTCTAAATCCATTCAAATCTGTGCATGAAGCAGTTTTCTTCACATTTGGACAACGCAAGCACCGTCAGCGATTGGACTGGGCTCTCGGCAACAAAACGGAGACATGACGGAAATAGTATTCCACCGCCAAACAATGTCTCCGCAGCTGAAGAGTTGTGTCAACTTTCAAACGTACTAGTTACTGTAGTTTTCGGAGTAAAAGCCGCACCTAGATTTTTTGTTACGAAATACAGACATCTACCCTATTTATCACGGTTAGTTTGAACAACGTAGTAAAAGTCGCAGTGACATTTTTGCGTGTATTACTGTTGCGTTTTAAAAAAGTGTGGTGTATACTCCGGAAAATACGGCAGTCAGTCTCCAATGCTTGGACTCATCACATGAGCACACATTCCATGGTCCATACCTTGGTGAGCAACCTTCGCTGTCATATCGGCACCTGAACAGCATGTCCTCAATCTGATGGCCGAGTACCGATATCTCCTCACGGACGACGGGCGCTTCGTCATACTGATAGTTCACCTATCAACGTGCACAAACAAACACACGGACATGCACACACACACACAGACAGATAGGCACACACATGCGTGCACACACATACACACACAGACAGGCATACACACACAGACATGCACACACACGCGTGCACACACATACACACAAACCCACGGACATGCATACACACACAGATAGGCACATATACACACACGCACACACATACACACACGCACACACATACACATTGTATTCGACTTGTAAAGTAATGGTACGAAAGGCCTACTTGTCGAAACTACGGTAAAAGCAGAAACTTTCGGTGGTGTAATATTTTCGTAATATTTCGGTGTTCTCCAAAATCGGTGGTGGTAAACCCGTTTTCCAGGTAAGTGTACTAGTACCGAAATTGTTTTCGGTAAAAATTGCCGGCACCAAAGTTACCGAAAATAGATCACCACCGAAAATTTCTGCTTTTACAGTACCGTAAAGTCTTGTATAAAAGCCGCGGCTTCTATGACTTTCTTGGTGAAATTTTGCAGGCTTCTATATGAGACAGGCTTCTATACAAGACAGGTATTTCTATGTATGTCAACACTAAAACCAGGCTTATGTGTGATTTGATGGGCCCAAAATTGCGGCTTCTATTCGAGGGCGGCTTCTATTCAAGTGCGGCTTTTATACAAGACTTTACGATATGTGGCTTGTGTGCTTCGTGTGCTAACACACACGTACACACATGCAAACATACACGTACACACATGCAAACACGCATTGTACACATGATTTCCAAGATTACTATGAAGTGCTCAACACCACACTGAGGATGGAGCAATAAGACGCTGTGTTTCATGCACATAGCAAAGCTAAGAGAATCCTCAGACAACTCCACAGTGTACACACATACACGTGTACAGCATTACTTGTACATGTACTGCCATAAGAACAGGGGACGGTATGAACAAAATTGTCAGGCAAAGACGTAAACACACAGAGTCTGCATGCACACTGGAAACCCAAACCAGCTTTGTAAAAGGGAATCACTGTAGAACCGGGAACTTCCGGTGGTGTATATTTTCGGTATTTCCCAAGATCAACGGTTCGGTAAAATGAAATTTTCCGTAAATCAGATCCAAAAATGCATTTTGCACACTGTGCGCCATGGCATGGTTGAATTTTAGTTGCGTTTAATTTTAGGTAAAAATTACCCGTACCAAAGTAGCCAAAAATAAATCTCCACCGAAATGTCCTGGTTTTACATTGCGTTCCATCTGGACGAGAGAGCAAACCAATGTTATCTTTTTTTCTTTCTTTTTTTAGGCCTCTTTTACGGGAAAATCAACACAATGGTTTAAAATGCAATAAATCATACACTGGAGAAGAAATCAGAAAAAAATGCATGTGTAAAACAAAGAATTTCAAACCCAAACCAAAAAAAAAGAATGTTATCTCCTGTGTACAGATTCAGCCAAACACATACATGTGCCTGCCCAGCGGCGTACCAATGCAACGGAAAACGTACCTGGTGAGATGTGAGATCGACCTTCTGGAGGTTGTAGCGGTTCCTCTCGGTTTCGACGTGCGCAAAGAGCGACGTGTTGCCTCCTTCGAACGAGTCGGCGATCTGTGGAATGGTGACAGCGCAGCGGTTAGACCTCAGCGTTGCACGTACATGTACATGTACATGGTATTAGATCAACCTTGTACTGTAGAAACACTCTACCCGTAGTACCAACCGTGGACGGTTGTAGTACGGCGCACTGTTTCCGAACACGGTGTTCCACCACCTTGTAATACGCTGTCAAACTAAAACAGCGTACATGTACATGTTCACTAAGGCGGTGTTTACATGAGGCGTTTCAACCCGGGTTGACTTCGACCCGGGTCAGAATGAGCGGCGTGTTTACATGACGCATTGCGCTTGACCCGGGTTGAAATTTCGCCCCGGGTTGAAATACACCCGGGTCAAGAAAATCGTACAAACATACTTCTGTGCGTATCTCGCGCCAGGTTTGAACAGCACTGCACATGCAAATTTCGCGCGAACGGATTCACGTGACCATAGAGGACTCTAGAAGTGGACTTTTGGCGGCATATCAGTATTTGACCCGGGTCTTCATGTAAACGCTCACCTATTTTGTCTATCGTACAGACTTTCAACCCGGGTTGAAATTTCTCATGTAAACACAGTCTAAAACCTGTGTTTTCCTCGATGTTGACTGATTTGCTAAATTCGCTAAGGTGTATGTGTCGCGAAAGTGTGTGTGTGGGGGGGGGGGGGCAAAGCACATGCACATACATTTTGACCTGTGCCTGTCGGTACAGACCAGCTTTTTGCGCACCATGGGGCAATGGTCACCAATTTCAAGGTCTGGGGTTCTGATGATGGGTGACTGGCCCGAAACGTCATAATTTTTTCGACATCACAGTAAAATTAATTTTTCATCCGGCGCATGCGGCGATTGTGAATAGCAACTGAATTGAGCGGTTGTCAGTTGACAATCCCCCTTTTATTTGGGATTATCAAACTCAAGAGAAGAACAACTTCCCGGTTCCTGACATCATCGGAAATTGTATCGACGTGATCTTCCGATGGCTTCCCATCGGGTGGAGTTCAGGGAAAAAACTGAACAAGAGCAATGGATTCTATACAGCAGGAACGTGAAAGAACTAGCGTAACGAATAGTTCAGGAAAGCAGCCAAAACAACAGTAAAATGAGTAGCCTTCAACACACGGAAAGAATGACGAAAAGGCGAAGATGTGAATAATCCTCATAACCAACCCTTGTCGATTGTAACCGGGGAGTAGTAAAATACCAGTATTTTACTACTCCCTGATTGTATGTAGCATAAGTAGAGCAATAGTAGAATCTATTATTTCGATAGGGAAGGCCCTACAGATGTAACGCTTTCATACTAGCATTTGCACCGTTTTTCGAGCATTTCGTCTATGTGAAAACAAAGACAGTCGGGGTACGGCGAGGGAGACCAAAAACCTTTTTCATGCTGATATGACTTAAAGTAACAAGGAGGTCTTATTTTCGAGCTGGTAAAAATCAAAAAATTAATGGGAAAAAACGGGGGTGGGGGGTGGGTCAGAGACAATTTTGCACGAGGACGGATTTTTAATTTTTCGATAATTACGGACGATCCCTTACGAGTTTTGAGAAACTGTCCACTACTGTCCTTTCTTATGTTCACAGTTTACAGTAAAACCTGGTTTAGGCGACCACCCCACGGTGCAAGCAAAAGCGGTCGTTAAAGCCAGGCGGGCAAGTCTTTAGAACCAGGTCCCACGGTGTCTATGTAGAACTGTTGGTGCATAGAAAAACGGTGGTTAAGAGCAGGTGGTCGCTAAACCCAGAGGTCGTTAGGAGCAGGTGGTCGCTAAACCCAGAGGTCGTTAGGAGCAGGTGGTCGCTAAACCCAGAGGTGGTTAAGAGCAGGTGGTCGCTAAACCCAGAGGTCGCTTACACCAGGTTTTGCTCTACTATTGGCTCAGTACCCGAGTTCAATTTTTCATTACGGTCCCAACGTACCTCCAGCACGGCATCCGAAGCCGTCTTCGTGTCGGGCGTCGTGCTCGAGGTGAAGAAATCGTCGGGTATGAAGCCGGCGACGGTGGGTGCTCGCGTGATCGCCGATCCGTCCTGGTTGGCTGGTCCGCCGGCCGCCGCGCCTTCTCCGAGCAAAAGCTTCATAACGGAGCAAGGCAAGCCCAGTGTTAGCGTCACTGGTACACCAGCTATGATACATACTGTGGGGAAAGTGGAAGCATAGGTAGAGAAGAACACCAGCTATGATACATACTGTGGGGAAAGTGGAAGCATGGGTAGCAGGGGCGTCGGATGGTATTTTAGCGTGGTACGCTCAGCCATCTGAAGTACAATTTTCTCGTGGGGGAGTGGTGGCTGAGCTGAAAATTTTGGAAATTTAAATCCCAGATCAGTGTATTTTATTGATTCACGGGGTACATGGGGCAAAAAGTGGTACGGTCAATATCGTAGTGACCGTACCGTGTCCGACGCCCCTGGGTAAAGAATAACACCAGCTATGATGCATACTGTGTGGAAAATGGAAGCATGGGAAGAGGATGATACTCAGGGGACATTGTAGAGATCAAGGTCAGGACGGTGAGTCCGAGCTTCATGCACGGATAACTCTGTGTGTGTGTGTGTGTGTTTGTGTATGTGTGTATGTGTGTGTGTGTGTGTGTGTGTGTGTGTGTGTGTGTGTGTGTGTATGTGTGTGTGTTTGTGTGTGTCACGGTGTGTGTCTGCCTGCACGTCTGTCTTTATTCTGTGTCTGTCTGTCTGTCTGTCTGTCTGTGTTCTATGTTATGTGTCCGTGTGTGTGTGTGTGTGTGTGTGTGTTTGACTCTTTGTATGTGCATGTGCATGTTAGTGTGTTTGAATGTGGGGAGTGAGAGTGAAGATTCTACTACTAGCATAACCCTAGGCACACTCAGTGCTCAGAGACTCAACAAGCAACCATAACATTAGGCACACTCAGTGCTCAGAGACTCAACAAGCAACCATAACATTAGGCACACTCAGTGCTCAGAGACTCAACAAACAACCATAACATTAGGCACACTCAGTGCTCGGAGACTCAACAAACAACCATAACATCTCATGAGCACATGCTTTGAACTGAGCACATACAGTAGATGTACTTACAAACAACTTAGCCACTATAGTCTAGAGCCAACAGAAAATCTTGCAAAATGAAGGCTCGTGGCACTTGCAATACATCCGCATGCTCACTCTGGTCTATAGAGTGACCTCACACCTATCACATGGCCATAGACATAGGGGAGTCAGCCGTGTTGGTTCCAACTCTGCTCAACCGTCCTGCATCTATGGGGCACATGATGTCGACCATGTTGGTTTCACTGTCCACATGACATGATCACTTTCTGCACAAATTTAGTCACATGACCAAGATGTGAAATCACTCTCTATACAGTATTTTGTAACTCGGATGGTGAGCCAATTAAATTATTGTGAAAAGAAGAAGGACAAAATGTTACGAGTTATGACTAACCCCCTCGGACATTTCCGAACCTGAGCCTTCCAAGTTGGAAGGTTGTTCGTTTGCGCCTTGGAGAAGTGTTGGAGCTAGGTGTCAGGTCGCCGAATGTCTCAGTACTCCTTGCCAGTTTTGTGCCATTTTGTCGCACTCGCTGACTGTATAAGATCTGGTGACGTTGGTGGACAGTTAGTCATAACTCGTAACATTTTGTCCTTCTTCTTTTCACAATACAGTATTTTACCGGTTGTAAGTCGACCTCCAAGCCCGGGGCCTCGATTTACCGGTTTAAGGGCATTACATTTTATTCCCCAGTTGTAGGTCGACTGCCCCGTTTAAGCCAGTTTTTAGGTCATTATACTGTCTTATAACCTGTTAAGTATGGCACCACTGTATACTGTAAGGTGTCTGCTTCAAAGAGAGTTAGCACGCTGTCATACTCACCTCCCTGACTGGACTCGGTGGTACCGCCGCCGGGCACTGGCGGTCCCGTGGCCGGCGCGTGTGTTCCTCCGCCGCTGGCAGCTGCACCGTGACACAGCAGAACAAACACACACGTCACCGTGAGTCACTACGGCATACACTACTGTCGAGTCACGGCCGAAGAACGGAGCACCGAAGAACGGAGCACCGAAGAACGAACAGGCAAGAATTTCGCCAAGCGCGGCATTCTAATGTACAGTATACAACTATACATTGTACACACCGTGACTCAACTGAGCATAGACTGTAATACATGAAAATAAGAACGACCTAGGCTACTTGTGCATGAACATGTGTGTGTCCAGCCGCATTCGTACCCCCCCCCCCCCCCCCCAGCCAAGCCATCACTGTGTTTCCCATTTGACAGCATTGTTTTCATGCAATAAGGAGGAGGTGGAGAGAAGGCCATTGCATGGAGAAAAAAATCAAGGGCTGTGCAAGTGGTGGGGCACCAGATACATGTGCATGTACTTGTTGTCCTCTGTAGGACCGACGGAAGCTGTTTTTGATTGGTCCGGCCAAACCATGGTCACCCATACTGCAGTGCTGCTCAATGAAATCCAGTCGAGTTTCTGAAGTACGCGCCGCGCCGGGCGTTGCGCAGCCCTAGACATGTGAACACTGGGCTGCGCACAGGTGCACGTCGTCAACTTGACTCTCGCGACTGGATTTCATCGAGCAGCACTGTACCAGACGGTTACACATGACCTCCTCCGCAGTATGCATGGAGAGGTGGCCAAACAGTTAGTCCCGTTCGTGGCCTGCGGACTAGGCCCTGGCGGATAATGCTCGGAAAAGTAGCGTGTTCTGCTCGACATTCTGCCAGTATTCTGCCCCATTCTGCTCATATTCTGCCAGATTCTCACGTGCTTGTGAACACAATAGAGCCGTAAATCTGAGGCGCCAGCAGCCCTCTCCGCACTTTGTAGCTGGTTCTGCAGAGTATCTACTCCTTCTTCTGCACTTTTCTGCCGAATTCTGCTCCTTTTCTAAAATAACCCATGTTCCGCTCGGAATTCTGCCGTCATTATCCGCCAGGGCCTACTGTGGACCAACCGGACCGGTTCCGCCGCCCTTTGCTCTGGTTCGGATTTCACCGCGTACTGCTTCGCCTCTCTCTTGTCTGCACCAGCTTTGCTACTACCCCCGTTATGAGCCCTCTGGATTCACCCCACGTTGAGTACCACTGTCTTAGTCTTAGAGCGCTGTGTTAAAATGCTACCGCCCAGCGTCTTTTCTATCCTTTTTTGTACTATCCCTTCGGCTTCTTCTTCTTCATTAGCTGTTGATGGAGACTCCCTTGATTTAGCCAGGTGTTCTTTAGAACCAGGTCCCACAGTGTCTGTGTAGAACTGTTGGTGCATGGAAAAACGGTCTTTAAAGGGGAAGTTAAGGCAAAAATTAAAATTTCACCAGTTGTAGTCTTCGGGGTGCTGAGTCGAATGGTCTTGGTCCGAGAAAGCTGAGACGCTCCCTTCCTACTTGAATCCCAATCGAACTCGCGCACTTCCACCGAAACTGGGTGACTGCGCCCTACTAGATGGGGATTTGTATGCAAAATGTCACTAAAAGCGCCATTTCGTTCTTATAAAAGCACGGATGACCGCGATTGGTCCTTATGTTGTAGTCTTTTGGACGCTGAGTCGATTGGTTTTGGTCCGAAAAGGCTGCGATGCAGCGCTCCTCCTGTATTCCCAATCGAACATGGTTGAACAAGCGGTCACGTGCTCCTGGGTGCCAAAATCACCTGGTCACCACACCAGCAGGCGACAACTTTCACACCAAGGTTCAACTCGAGTTCAACTCGAGTGACAGGACTGCACCCAAAAAAGGTCAAACAGGCTAGTAAGTTGAGGCGCCAGCAGCCCTCTCCGCACTTCGTAGCTGGTTCTGCAGAGTATCTACTCCTTCTTCTGCACTTTTCTGCCGAATTCTGCTCCTTTTCTAAAATAACCCATGTTCCGCTCGGAATTCTGCCGTCATTATCCGCCAGGGCCTACTGTGGACCAACCGGACCGGTTCCGCCGCCCTTTGCTCTGGTTCGGATTTCACCGCGTACTGCTTCGCCTCTCTCTTGTCTGCACCAGTTTTGCTACTTCCACCGAAACTGGGTGACTGCGCCCTACTAGATGGGGATTTGTATGCAAAATGTCACTAAAAGCGCCATTTCGTTCTTATAAAAGCACGGATGACCGCGATTGGCCCTTATGTTGTAGTCTTTGTACCCTGTTGTACCCTGCAGGCACGGTGACCAGGTGACTGGTGTACGCAGGAGCACGTGACCGCTTGTTCAACCATGTTCGATTGGGAATAAAGGAGGAACGCTGCATCGCAGCCTTTTCGGACCAAAACCAATCGACTCAGCGTCCAAAAGACTACAACATATGGGCCAATTGCGGTCATCCGTGCTTTTATAAGAACGAAATGGCGCTTTTAGTGACATTTTGCATACAAATCCCCATCTAGTAGGGCGCAGTCACCCAGTTTCGGTGGAAGTGCGCGAGTTCGATTGGGATTCAAGTAGGAAGGGAGCGTCTCAGCTTTCTCGGACCAAGACCATTCGACTCAGCACCCCGAAGACTACAACTGGTGAAATTTTAATTTTTGCCTTAACTTCCCCTTTAAGAGCAGGTGGTCGCTAAACACAGAGGGCACTTACATGTACATCAGGTTTTACTGTAATACAAAATACAGCTGCAAGAATACTTACTTGTTGCATGTGGTCTCGGCGTTGTCCTGCTTCCACCGCTTCCATCACCGGCCGTGGTTGGCGCGATGTTCGGCATGCCCGTCGTCTGCGTTGCCAGCGTCGGCTCTGTCTCTCCAAGCGTTGCCGTGGTGATCAGCGGTGCCTCGGTGCCCGGCTCCACGAACACGGTCGTGTGGACCGTGCGCGTCGCCGTCGACGGCAACGTGACGTTCGCCTCAAAGTCGCGCGGGTTGACCGTGGACACGTACGGCGTGGTGGGCGTTGTCGTGGGCGCGGCGGTCGTCACGGTGACCGGCGCCGCGGAAACCGTCGTCGGCGACGCCGTGACGTTGACGTGCTCGTGCAGGCGCGTCTTGAGCACCTCCTGGCGGCGCAGTGCGTTCAGGTTGCAGATGGTGACGGCCGGGAAGTCCACCTCCTTGTTGAACGAGAAGTCCACGCTCACGTCCACGTCGTTCTTGCGGTACTGCGCCACCAGGATGCTGCACTGCTGCAGGGCGAAGGCGAACGCCGCCGCGAACACCACGCCCCACAGCAGTCGCACTATGCCAGGCAGGTACGAGGCAGTGGCCGTGATGCGCGACAGGCCATGGGAGGTCAGGTCTTCAAGGTACGCCTCCACCCACAGGCGCGCGCTGTCGCGGCGAAGCTCCGCCGACATTGCCGCCGCCCACTCGCACTGAGCAGTCAGCGATCGTTCTTCGACGAGCGACGCTCCGTGGCCGCTAGTACCCGTTTATTGTCCGTCGCTGTCAACCTTCGCTCTATCTTGTCGCCGATAGAATATTATTAGTTACTCGTTGTTTGCGGGGGCATGCAGCACTTCATCCATTCAATGCCACCAGACCAGGTCAGGCCAGTAAGCACTCAATGCTCGTCCTCGTGTTCTCAGGACGACAGGAGTCAAGCCATTGACTTCAAACAAAGAGACCACCTTCCTACTGCTAGTATTCCTAGATTTCTCGGAGCTAGGATGGCTAACTATATCACCAGGTATTTGATGTCGCTAACAATCGCTAGCGACGATGACCATGAAGCAAGATCTCCCGGGGCCGCGGCGCGGGGGCTCAGAACCTGTAAACAGCCTCATTTACCGTTCGGCCATCAAAGAAAGGTCACCAGGTCACTGGCGGACAAGGGCACCTTCGACTTCGCCTTGGCAACCTCACTACACTCCTCAGCTTCTTTTCCTCTCTGACTCGACTGCTTTGTTGATAGGCTTTTCTATGGCCCGAATGCTCCCAAACTTGCGTGAATAGTAAGTCGTTCGTATCGATGATATCATGTTACATGTATGTTCGAACCGTGAGTTTGCGATAATGTGACATATTATGTCACAAACTCACAGCTGTGGCAATGCCACCACTGTAACGTGTGGACTGTGGAGTGTACTCGTCTCTGGCAGTGGAAGTGTTGTGCAGTTGATAGATCCGCGGTTGACATGGTTGAGGCAGACATCTTCGCCACTCTGTTCTAGAAATCAGTCAGTGAGTATGAACAAGAGTCACAAGACTCAAGAGACAGTCCATGGCATGGGCATGGAGATCTTGGATGACGACCAGGGAGTCGTAAAATACCGGTATTTTACGACTCCCTGATGACGACGGATCCGACAGTTTTTTCTCCTGCATGCACACTACGACTCGTACTGCACAGTGCTATGATGACGTAGAATCCACACAATGACGTTACGTCAAGAAAACCCGCGGCCCGGCGCGGCTGTGTGAAAGCGAGATCGAGACGACTCGGTACAGCTAGATCGACGAGATCGAGAGCGATAGCTAGCGCATGCATGCATTATCAGTTTATGTGTGCAAAAGATGAACCACCCAAAATTGCAAAAAAAAACACAAAATACGAAGTCCAAAGAGAACTTTATCAAAAATGAGTTGAGGCTGAGCACTGCAGTTCAAGATTGTGAACCAACTATAATTATTATACCTTGACTTGTCTTGGCTGAGTTTGATTCTCTTAGTGCACATTGTCATTAGTAATAGTACTGTAGCAACCTTGCTCGCACAGCAAGCTCTACTTTCAACAACACTCAGTCAACAGGCCGAGAAAAAAAGCGGTTCATCTAGTTTGCGATCATCTAGTGTGTGATCGTATCTGCTGGCGAAACTAGCCACGACTCGAGAGTGGTTCATCGGTTTACTCCAATTTGATTAACCCCAGCAGCCAATGTTAGCTTGAACTCCCCTAGAGTTTGTTGGGATGTCTGATCACTCAGATTTGGATCGGTAAGACAACGCATTTATCATGTATATAATGGCAGGAGAAATTTGCGCTCACATCAAGAGTTGACGTTGCACGTTCTCATGTTCTTTGTTATTTCTTCGCGCAATGTAGGTAGTGAACCAAATAAGCTATTGCGAATGTACGAATGTCACTTTTCCTGATCATTTTGACCACCGGGAAGGGGTCTCTGCCGTGGTGCTATCCTGGGAGGTTGTGGTGGCAATTCAACCATGTACCAGAATTTATTGTGAAAATTGTGTCTGTAAAACCAGCGCAGATTTCACTTACGGCAGCAAACTGGAAGTTTTGATTAATTATGTGTATGCGATATGCATGTCCACTCTCGCCCGTGCCGGGCGGCGTGCGTCTAGGATGAGGCCAGGCCCGGCCAGATGGTGTGTGTTTACACTGATTGTCCCTAGCCAAGAGTATGCAACTGTGATCTCTTTGCGATGGGGCAGCAGCCGCGTGTCGCTCTGCCTCTCATTACATCGTCCGGCTTCATCCGCGTATTGCAAAGGATCAAACACCGCATTTTCCATGACAGCTTCGAAACTAACCTTTTGCTGGGACAGAAATTTGTGTTTGCAGATCGTTTCACCGAGCACGACTGTATTACTCTTGGTCATGGAGTCTTGCTTGTCCTGGGAGGTTGTTACCAATCGGATGTTGCGGGTTCGATTCCCCGTTTGAACAAAGGTTACTCCCACCCTATTGGGACTCATCTGGGACCGGGTGCCTGACTTCGTTCGGTGAGGGAAAGGTGACGAGGGGGAGGAGAAGCAATGCCCTCATTATTATTGCCCTACTCTGTGTGTGTATGTGTGTGTGTGTGTGTGTGTGTGCGTGTCTGTGTGTGTCTGTGTGTTTATGCATGCGTGTATGTGTGTGTCTGTGTGTGCGGTGTGCATGTGTGTGTTTGCGTGCGTGTGTGTGTATGCATATGCACATGTACGCGCTTATGCACGTGCGTCTACTCCCCTGCAGGCAAATTGAGTGTCTGCGTAAATGCGAGATCATCACAGAGTCTGAAGTGAAGTCACTATGCTACAAAGCTAGGTATGTAACACCTGTGCACTGCCCTCACCCCACTGTTCAGCACTGCAATTACCCGGTGTTAGCGGCCGTCGTGACTCGTCAGTTCCTTTCAGGAACGGACACGCTAGTTTACTTTTCTTAATGTACGGCTTGTGCTGCAGCGCTGCTTGTCTTGCAGTTGCAAGCCTTGCACCATGCACTCATTGATGGTCATTGCTAAGATATGAGTGAGCACGATACAATGCAGTGCAGGACAAGTGCCAGATTGCTGTTTCGCCATGCGTGTGGTGACATATCATGCGATGACATCGTGCATTGAGTGGTACACCGGTGCTGTTGGTATCACCAAGAGTACATAAACCAGAGTGTGCAACTGTGCATATCAGATCTGAAACAGTGCAGTTCTTGCACTACGTCACCCTGATGAGATTAGCCAAGCTGCGACTTGGGTACAGCTCGAATTTTCGTCAGTTCCTTTCAGGAACGGACACGCTAGTTTACTTTTCTTAATGTACGGCTTGTGCTGCAGCGCTGCTTGTCTTGCAGTTGCAAGCCTTGCACCATGCACTCATTGATGGTCATTGCTAAGATATGAGTGAGCACGATACAATGCAGTGCAGGACAAGTGCCAGATTGCTGTTTCGCCATGCGTGTGGTGACATATCATGCGATGACATCGTGCATAGAGTGGTACACCGGTGCTGTTGGTATCACCAAGAGTACATAAACCAGAGTGTGCAACTGTGCATATCAGATCTGAAACAGTGCAGTTCTTGCACTACGTCACCCTGATGAGATTAGCCAAGCTGCGACTTGGGTACAGCTCGAATTTTCGTGTTTCACAGTCCGGAAATCAGCCAAGTTTGCATTAGACGTCCTGTTTTAGAATTTCTGTGTGACTGTGTGCACCCACTGGCAAGTAAATTCACCAGGCTATCCGTATCAAAAACCGAAATCAGGACAAGCTCAGCGACCTGCACCACTGTGACTGGTTACGCAACTTTTCACCGTACCTGTGGCTTACCAGGCCCTCAGAAATGACGCACTGCACGGATTACGCTCCCACAGGAACCATCCTGAGTTGCACACTCTGGTTTATGTACTCTTGGTATCACCCCATACTAGACACTGCAAATGATGACACAATCACATAAGCACATGGTCTTTTTTTATCCACTTTCAACACCCTCAACTAATGATGACGTCACGGTGCAACCTCTATACGCACTACATAGCCCAGTGTGTTGGCATGCAGTGGCGGCGGCTGGTCGGCAGGAGTGTGTACATGATTGTGCACATGCACAAGATGCGCACACATCATCGCTTTGCATGACCAGCCAGTCTTCCGTCGGCTATATACAGTAAAACCTGGTTTAAGCGACCACCCCACGGTGCAAGCAAAAGCGGTCGTCAAAGTCAGGTGGTCTTTAGAACCAGGTACCGCAGTGTCTGTGTAGAACTGTCGGTGCATGGAAAAACGGTCGTTAAGAGCAGTGTTGGTGCATGGAGAAGCGGTCGTTAAGAGCAGTGTTGGTGCATGGAGAAGCGGTGGTTAAGAGCAGGTGGTCGCTAAACCCAGAGGTGACTTACACCAGGTTATACTGTACAGTGAAACCTGTCTAAGACGGCCGCTCAAGGGACCTTCAGAACGTGGTCTCTGTTACCAGGTGGTCTCCTTATCCAGGGTCATTTGACTGGAAATAGCATCCCTTGGTCCTGGTTGCAGTGGTCTTCTAGAACAGGTGGGTGCCCTGACGGGTTTTACTTTAATCACCCATCCTGCAATGAACCGCGTACACTTCTGCCAGCGTATGATGCACCGCGCACACCCCTGCCAGCATATGATGCAGTGGTGTATGCTGCAATTGCGTGACTTGTTGACGATGTGCTTCTACATTGTACATGTCGTTTTGATGCGCTTGAGTCTGTCGCATCTTGAAGACCGTCGTTGACGTTTCATTTCTGTGCTCGCACTTGTACCCGCGAGTGTGTGTGTGCGTGCGCGTGCGTGCGTGTGTTCATGTACGCGTGTGTGTGTGTGTGTGTGTGTGTGTGTGTGTGTGTGTTAACGGAACTGCAGGGAAATACTGATAGAGGAGAGCAATGTGCAGTGTATTGATACTCCTGTGACAGTAAGCATTCATTCTTACTGCAACTCACAGCCATTTAAAACCCAGTGGAACAAGGCTATTTTACATGTATTTACTTCTACATTATCTGCAAGTGAAGACATTATCTGCACCGTACTATAATGCGTACATGAAAAATTCTTACTGCAACTTCTCACACTGCTCATCTCTCAATGCTCCGGGCAAGGACTATTTACATCAGTGTTTTGTCGTGCCACCGTTGCTGCTGGAGCGCATCGTGTTTGTTGGTCTTATCCTCATCGTTAAAAGTCTTCGCTTAACTCATCGACAGTCTTTTCTTTTCTTGGTCGTGTGTGTATCTGTGTTTGTGTGTTCGCAGGTATGCGGTGACATTCACGGGCAGTTTTACGACCTAAGAGAACTGTTCAAGGTGAGTGAGTCCGTGGGTGTACGCGCGTGTAGGTGCATGCGTGTGTGTGTGTGTGTGTGTGTGTGTGTGTGTGTGTGTGTGTGTGTTCTACCTACGTTTGCAACAGTATAAAAATATATTTCATACTCCGTACCCTGGACGGCTGAAGTGAGCTGAGTAATTGTGCCAGTTGTACCCGGTGAAAGATTATTCCCGTACCTCTTTTGCATTGTCAGCCTCCACCGAGCAGCACAGAAAGATGGAAAGCACCTGCTGTTAGCGGCTTACCATACCGTAATGTCGCGTATAAAAGCAGGTGCTTCCGGCCATATAAGTCGGGGTTCAACCATGCTTCTATTCAAGTTATGCTTTTATACGCGACACTACTGTATCTATTCAACAGAACTGTGCTCTCAATGGCGCTGTATGGAGTGCTAAGTATAAGTAAAGAGGATCATGTGTTATTTTACTTGCCACCGTATTATGGATTCTTGCTTGCAAGCGTTTCATTTATTTTCCTCCGTATGATATTTTCGCAGGTCGGCGGGGAAGTTCCGGATACGAATTATTTGTTCCTGGGCGACTTCGTTGATCGGGGATTTTTCAGCGTGGAGACGTTTCTCCTCCTCTTGGCACTGAAGGTGAGCAAGTGATTGTGCACACGTGTAGGCGTGTGCGCGCACGTGTGTGTGTGTGTGTGGCGGCCAATTCTTCAGCCTTGCAAGCTGTTGAATGCTGCAATCCCAGCACAAGTTGCTATGGCTTCTGCTGTAGCATCTCTATCATCGCCTCCGGCGATGGGCGTCAAATGGTGTGTGTGTGTGTGTGTGTGTGTGTGTGTGTGTGTGTGTGTGTGTGTGTGTATCTTTGTGTGTGTGTGTGTATGTTTGTTCTTTGTTGATAATTTGGTTACATTGTTTAGGGCTTGAAAGTGCTACAACATTGTGATGGCCATGCTGCCTGTTGAATCACCTGGGATCAAGAATTTGGGCTTTATCCATGCATGATTTATTTTTATTTTAGTACACCGTCCAATGGCAGAAGCCAATGCAACGGAGGGGGCATTAGCCAGCCATGGCAAGAGAACGAAAAATAAAGAAAGAAAGAACATAATTATCGGAAGAAAAGAACGCATCGGAGGGGTGAAATTTATCACTATGGATGTTTGAAGCAATCTTCTTCTCAGCAGTGTGATACATCCTCCGGGAGTGCCTTGACTACTGGAGGGGGGCAAAGAAATTACTACTAGTACGAAGAGTACATACTGTATTAAAAACAGGTTATTTTCGGTGTAACTTTAATTTCGTTGATTTCGGTAGAAATACCAGGCACCTAAATTTAGATAACACCTAAAAAAGGCACAAGAGTATTCACTGTATGTGAAGTGAATTCTAAATTACACCTGAAACCCATCAGGTCCCTGCCACCGAAATTTGAATACACCCAGGTTTACATGTTTTACAGTATTCCCAACAAGAGTATGCAACTCTGCGTAGGGGGTGTGGCACGGGGCGCTGCCCACATCACGTGGCTGCAAGCTGTGGAGCGCGAGTATGCGTGCGAATAAGCTGCGCTGCTGGTGGTGTGGGAATGCCCATACCACGCGTGTGTGCTTATGGATGTGTACCTGTGTTTGTGTGTGTGTGTGTGTGTGTGTGTGTGTGTATCTCTGTGTGTTTTTGCGCATGTCCAATTGTCCATGTAGGTTCGCTATCCAGACAGAATAACGTTGGTCCGGGGCAACCATGAAAGTCGGCAAATCACGCAAGTAAGTGCATTAATCCTACACTTGAATTTTCTTATTGATTTCAACATCCCATAAAGCTAGGAAAGGATGACAGTTGTGCTCGGTGAAATCAGACCCAAAGTGCATATTCGGCGCCCTCAACTAGCACGGCCCTTGACACCCTGGAAATGGTACACATGCGGCTGGACGTACACATGTACACACCTATTGCAGTGATGCACTAGTAATCGGAACAGGACCAGTGTGCCAGTTGTACACCTAAATTTTGTCGGATTTCGGCAAGCACACCGGTGCCTGTACAGGCAGTTTACAGTTGGTAGGTCTCTGATCTATGCAAGCACACGAACCATTTCGTGAGTCGAAATCACAACATAGCGTAAGTGTATCAGAAGGCTTGAGCCCGTCTCTGGAAGTGGGGGAGAGAGCTGCCGAAGTAAACTGCTCCGAAGAAATGTTCACCTCTTCTGTGAACTCGACTTATTAATTTTATACAGTCAGACCTCGCTTATCCGGTCCTCTTTTATCCTTATCCCTCGCCATCCGGAAGAAAATTGTTGGTTACCGATTACAGCGTATGTTATGAATACAGACAGTATGCGTGTTCGATTATCCGGTTCCCTCGCCTATCCGGGTATTTTGTGGGAAACGGACGTGTGCGCCTAACCAAAGTCTGACTATACTCCATTTGGTGGTAGTGTCATGTTGTCAGCAATCACTGATTGTTGAGTTCAGCATGGAAGTATCGGCTAGGTCTGGTGTGTTTTGTTGTGAGGCGAAGTGAGTCATCTCCTTCTGGCTCAGTCCCCCAGGGGAGATCTCTTTGTGCGCGGTTTCAAATGACCAAGTATTGTGCGCGTGTGCGTGCGTGTGTGTGTATGGTGTGTGCGTGTGTATGTGCTGTGTAGGTATATGGTTTCTATGAAGAATGCCAGCGGAAATATGGTTCCGTCAACGTATGGCGCTACTGCACGGAAGTGTTTGACTACCTCAGTCTCTCCGCAATCATTGATGGAAAGGTAGGGTAGGCAAAGATTTTAAAAAAAACTCTCCCCTCCCCTGTCCCACGACACCAGTAGTGAGGCGAGTTCTTTGGCCTTTAACCATGCAAGGCTTCAAGTTTGAAATAATGACATCAGTATGCTTGGTATGGTTCCAGCTTGTTCGGTGCGCAAGGTGTACGCACTCATGCGCGTTACGGCAGCTGTCTTCTTTTTTTTGATGCCGTCTTTCACAAAGCATCAAGAAGAGTTGGTGCTGCAGATGTGGAGGTGGTTGTGGCGGTGGTATGGAAATGGGGAGTTTGTTCTTGCGCAAAGCCCTTCAACTGCTTTGCACCAAGCGCTTCTTGGTGAAGTCATTTCATTCAATTCAATGCACGTGCGTATACGTGTGTCCTGTGTTTTTGTTGTTTGAAGATATTCTGCGTACACGGAGGTCTTTCCCCGTCGATTCAAACTCTCGACCAGGTAAGTGTATTTCGTTGTGGGAGTCTTTCAACAATGTAGAGGGTTGGCATGTTATGAGAGCAGTACCGCATTTCCCCGAGTATGTGTCGCACCTTTCTACGCTAAACCTCGGGGCCGACAAAGGTGTGCGACTTATAACCGAGCATGGCTTACAGTTAGGCCCCCTAATCTGGGCAGGTCGGGACCAAGCACTGCCTGTAACTAGGAATTGCCCGTATTTTTCACAGCATTACCACGCGGCGTGCAAACGTTCTTTAGCCGAGGAACAGCAGCGGAACCATGTGTTGCACAGTAATATTAGACTTATGCATATTGTAAGCAATCTTTCACATATTATTATCCATCAGCACTCGGCCGAAGGCCGGAGATTGGCACCCACCGGGCTAGCATCCAGCAGCCAAAGGTGGGGCCATGCATCATCATAATTATTTACCACAGTTTGTGCTGTAGAGATCCGTTGGTGGTTGTAACACTGCTCCTCATCCTCTTGCTGGCTGCAGATTCGCACTATTAATCGCAAACAAGAAGTACCGCACGACGGCCCAATGTGCGACCTGCTGTGGTCCGACCCGGACGAGAAGCAGGGCTCCTGGGAGAAAAGTCCGAGAGGCGCTGGCTTTCTTTTCGGTCGTGATGTTGTCACTGACGTGAGTAGTGACTGCTGCTGTTGCTGTGTGTGTGTGTTCTCTCTCTCTCTCTCTCTCTCTCTCTCTCTCTCTCTGTCTCTCTCTCTCTCTCTGTCTCTCTCTCTCTGTCTCTCTCTCTGTCTCTGTTTCTCTCTGTCTCTCTGTCTCTTTCTCTCTCTCTCTCTCTCTCTCTCTCTCTCTCTCTGTCTCTCTCTCTCTCTCTCTCTCTCTCTCTCTCTCTGTCTCTCTCTCTCTCTCTCTCTCCCTCTCTCTGTGTATCTCGCTCTCCCTCTCTGTCTCTCTCTCTCTCTCTCTCTCTCTCTCTCTCTCTCTCTCTCTCTCTCTCTCTCTCTCTCTCTCTCTGTCTCTCTCTCTCTCTCTCTCTCTCTCTCTCTCTCTCTCTCTCTCCCTGTATCTCTCTCTCTCACTCACTCTCTCTCTCTCTCTCTCACTCTCTCGCTCTCCCTGTATCTCTCTCTCTCTCTCTCTCTCTCTCTCTCTCTCTCTCTCTCTCTCTCACACACACACACACACACTCACTCGCACGCACGCACGCACACACTCAGACTCAGACATGCTCATCGCGGAAACGATGATAGCGAGCAGCTATATTAACCCCTCGACAGCTTGCAAGGCTGATGAATTGACCGCCACTAATGTTAGCCTGGTATCCACCACACAGCTGATTGAAGTGGTTTTTCTGGCCAGTGAATCCCTCTTTTTCATTTTTCATTTTTTCCATTTTTCGTACTTTTTTCTTTTTCGACACACACACCACACCACATCCTCCGGCGTACACCACCCAGGAGGACACGCACGCACACACACACACACACACACACACACACACACACACACACACACACACTGTGAAGGAGAGGACAACACACGCACACACACGCATTGACTCCTTCCGCACGCATGGCTGGGTTTTCCTTGCATTGTTTGTTTTGTGAAGTCACTGAAGTGGTCTGTTGACTTTGGCATACCCCTATTCTTTCTGCGCTCATTTCTATTGTTGCCCTTGTTGTCGTCTTCACTGCAGTTCAACGCCGCAAACAACATTGACATGATGTGCCGGGCACATCAGCTGGTCATGGAGGGTTTCAAATGGCACTTCAACCAGACTGTACTCACCGTCTGGAGCGCGCCCAACTACTGCTATAGGTACGGATATGGGCTGAAACTATTCACTCTGTTTATATTGTGTGCGTGGCTCACTCTTGAATGGCAGTGGCTTTCACTTGTTTCTCTTACGTTCGCGTACCGCTGCTGGGAACTGGAGTTTCAACAGTTTCGTCTTTTTTTGTGACCATTGGCAGGGGAAATGTGTTGAAATTCTTCCTTGAGAGAGACTGGCGGGTTGCTGCTTGCATGGGCAAGTTGTGTGTGTGTGTGTGTGTGTGTGTGTGTGTGTGTGTTCATGTGTCACACCAAGAATACTCTTATGTACTCTTGGTCACCCCTATCATTCATCCTGCAACAACTGACTTGGATTCAGACTTATCTAGCATCTGCAAGCTCACTAGTGTGGGCTGCTGAATGGTGAAGGTGTGGATTGCTCCAACTGACTTGTGTGTGTTCGTGTGTGTGTGTGTGTGTGTGTGTGTGTGTGTGTGTGTGTGTGTGTGTGTGTGTGTGTGTGTGTGTACATGTATGTACGTATGTGCACTGTACATGTCTGCTTTGCACTGCAGATGTGGTAACATTGCTGCTATTTTCCAGCTAGACGAAAACGGCCAGAACGAATTCCTCATTTTCGAAGCAGCGCCGCAGGTAGGTTTTGGACCCGTGACCCTCTATCAGTGTTGTATTCATGGTGCCATGGTGTACTGTAATTTCACAAATTTTTGGTGTACTTTTATTTTCGGTACTTTCGGTGCATCTGTTTCATACCTAAGATTTCAATACACCGAACAAACTCTAACACACATAATCCAATAGGGAACTGCTTCTCTGTATCTAAAATTCCTGTTCACCTAACCTGGCCTTTTGTCCTCATACCGAAAATATTGAGCACCGAACATTTCTGAAATTATAGTAATCCTTGCCCTGCTCTCCAGTTGCAAGCCACTCTTTGTGGAAGTGCCTGGCTGGTGTAAGGTTGTGTGTGTGTGTGTGTGTGTGCGTGCGTGCATGTATGTCGTACATGTGTACAAAAACAACGTAGTAAATTTATAATGTCCTGACACAAATCCACGATTCGTGTTCCGACCTCTTTTCGGAATGAAAAATGCTAAAGTTTGTATTCCAGTTCGTGAACCGAAAAGTGTACATGAACTCGAAAGCAAAATGTCATGATGCTTAACCTCTTTATCTTTGTGCTGTGTATGTCTCATTCGTGTAGGAAGCAAGAGGTCTACCGAAGAAGAAACCGCAGGCGCAGTACTTCCTATGACGACTTCTGGTTGCTAGCTCTGTCCTTAAGCTATCCCGGAGACTGTGTCCCCGTCCGTCACGCATCGCCCTCCCGCTCACGCCACCACTGCGGCCGCCTAATGATGTCGGTGTGTGCTGTTAGTACTGCGTGTGTCGGCGTGTGTTAGAGAGCTCCTCCTCGGCATGCTGTGTACGGCCAAGTGTTGCCATGTTCGTCGCCGAACACCTAATGCATCATGACCTCCGAGCAGACCTGGCGATGACGACTAAAACAACTTTGCCGGCCGCCGTTTGGCCGCTGTGTTTTGCGGCCAAGATTCACCCGCCGCCGGCTCCGTACGCCGCTGAGTGGCCGTCTGTTGTCCCCTGCTGTCGCCGACACTGTTGACAATGTCCTCGTTCTCGGCGTGCTTCTGCGGGGTGCATCTCGGCGTGTAGTTGCTCGTGTTCGTTTTGAGTGTGTGCTCTGCCTGGATGTCCGTCACTGTGTCACTTAGCTGCACCTTCAGCCATACGGCACATTCCCTGGGCGTCCCGCGAGCACCAGCTAAATACCAGTGTGCCTGGCCGTATGTGACAATGTTCGTACGGTTTCCTGCTGGCTGGCCGGCGTCACAATGCGCGTTGACTTGCTTCTACCTCTGCTCCTGGCTGGCCGGCATTCCTCGTTGCACGCGTGTGTTTGTGTGTGTGCGCGGGTGTGTGTGTGTGTGCTGTGGACTGCTTGCTGTTTGCATGGTTGAATGTGCCATGCACAACAGACAATAGACTTGCAGCTGTGCTGATAACCTGCTCCTAGCTCATGCCGTGTACGTATGTATAATTATAACGGTGTGCGTGGGCAACTCACCTCTTGCTTTGCTTTGTTTTTCATTCGCCAGCCTCGTTCAGCTGGGACTGTTTCTCTTCGTTTTAGGACCAGCAGCTTTCCGTGTCTTACCTCTCGTGGGCTCCGTCTTTCATTTCATTTTTTAATGGAAAAGTCTGTGTGTGTGTGTGTGTGTGTGTGTGTGTGAGTTGGGGACTTTGCCCACACGTCTGCAGTATAGGCTGAACGGCGTATAAACACACCAACAATTTAATTGTCTTGATTTCAGTATCGTTACTGGCATCCTGTCCCTCGGCCTTGCCTTCATTGAGCCCTTTTTTTGGTTTCTTCATTCCGCTGTCTTTATTAATTGGTCGCTGGAGTTTAGCATGATTGTTCTGTTGTCCAGCCTAGGTATGTTGTTGCTGCCGCTGTTGTCACGGTAATGATGGTTGCTCTTGAGCTCTGCTAGACATGCATTTGCCTGTGCAGTACAACAAGTACCGTATCTTTGATCGCTGTCTGGGTTTGTGTGCTGAAGCCAACTTTTTGTAACTGGTGTGTGCACGCTTGTGTGTGTGTGTGTGTGTGTGTGTGTGTGTGTGTGTGTGTGTGTGTGTCCTTCCCCTGTTTGGTCCGCTGATTAGTAATTGGAGCGCTTTTGGTTTGCACAGTGGAGGTGCACGCGTTGGAGCTACGCATTGAACATGTATGATGTATTGTAGAGTCTACACTACAGACAGTGTCATGACGTCAGTGGAGGTGTGTACAGTGTGGTCGTTGCATGCAGGGAGTACACTACAAGTAGTATCAAGAGTACATAACCCTGGGTTATGTACTCTTGATAGTATTAGTACCAAGAGTATAATCATAAGCGGGGGGGGGGGGGGGAGTATTATACTTTTGGTAGTACGATTTACACAATTGTACCAAGAGCATTATAATCTTGATTGTACATGTACATAGTGGCATATCGGTATCTTCGCGGGGTGAATATTTGTTTGTTTGGTGTGGCCCACGTTCACTTCTCCACCTCCGGAGCTCCCAAATACATGATTGTGTGCAAGTGGCTCAGCGAGTCAGCGGCGTTGTAGTTTCTTACTATTCTGAAAAGTGGGCTTGCCGTGACAACCGGTATGCAAGGTATGACCGTGTCTGGCAGATGGCCTCAATACACCGGCTGTTTTGGTATTTTGTGTTCACTTACCATCGCTCCCTGTCCTTGCATTGAGAGTGATACATTGTAACAGGAGTATAATTATAAGTTTACTCTTGGTGATACTGTATCCCAGACACGTCGACTCCACCCTAGCCCTCACCCGGCCGGCTAGCCTCTCACTCTGCAGTGCAGTCTGTCCAGGACGGACCGGTCCGTGGACGCTAGCTTGCTGTCATGTTCATACAGACATACTGCTTGTGCAGCCTATCATCACGTGCCGTCCGTTCTCGAGATGGCTATATTCAGGCTGAATAGTCGACGTATCTCGGACACAGTATTATCACTTGTCAGACAACCAAGCGCGTGCACACGTATACCATCAAGAGTCCATAAGTAACAGTACTGTCAGTAGTTGCATACTACCCATGGACTCTTGATACCATGGTACATGGTATGAAGTCAGGCAAGGAAAAGGACTGGCACAGACCATGCAGACTGTGGTAGTGTAATCTCGAAAAGATGAAGGCATAAACCAGGGAGTCGTAAAATACGGTATTTTACGACTCCCTGGCATAAACGTACCGGGTATTACAGTGTATTGTCGAGTGCGTATTTCCCCAGTCGAGCTCATGCGGCCACAATCAATGATCGGTGTAATACCGGTGTCTACTGTTGGACACACATGTACAGTCATGTACATGCACCTGCTGTACCCGCAATGCAGATATGCAATAGGGCTTGAAAGTGCTACGTCACAGCATAGCAACAATTTCAAAAATTCAAAAACTGGATCCACTTGGATCCAGTTTTTGTATGGATCCAAGCACATTTCAAGCGGTCTTACCCACAGCATGGTGATGTAGCCAGTGAAACTGACTGATTTGGCTACTGGGGGCGGGGTTACAACTGGTGGCGAAATAAAAGTCACACACCTGCATGCGACATGAGTGGGTTGCTATCAAGAGTACATAACCCATGGTTATGCACTCTTGGTTGCTATGCACCCACATACTTAGGCAATAGCAAAGTCACACCTTAGTGGATCCAAAAATAGAAATCTGATGTCAACTTACTACTCCCTGGCCGTTTTGACGTCATCACTTTCAAGCCCTATACTGTACTACTGTGACGGTATTGCCAATAGTCAATACCAGGGAGTCGTAAAATACCGGTATTTTACGACTCCCTGGTCAATACACTGACTCTGTACTGCAATAGCAATCAATCATTTTGCATGTGTCTATTACCAAGAGTTTTTTTCTTTTTTTTTTGTTTTCTTTTTTACTGAATACCACAGTACCATCAGATGCTGCACAGCGGGGGCGGTGGCATATTGGATGGAAGTGGGGGCGGGGCAAAAGTAACTCCTCCGACCAAAGGTCTCGGAATCATTGTTACTCCTGTGCGCCGATACATAGGAGAAAAGAAACATGTGCATCCAAGAGGGGAGCACCGGCTTTGCAAACGATAATGGGGAGAATTTGAGATTGGGATAGGACAAAACAATAGTAAAAGCAGTGCACCGTAGGAAGATGGAGTGAACTGATAATCGGATTTTAAGGCTGAGCGAAGGGGATCAAAGAGGGGTAGAAGGGAGCTGGAGTGCGGTCAGTATAATTAGGCTGGTGTGTTGGCAGAGATCATAGCCTGTCTGTGGCCCACTCCCACTTGCTGCGCCGCAAGTGGTCGTTGACGTTTTTCTTGAACGTGTGCATGCCTCTGCGAGAAGGGGGAGACTGCAGAAGGGTAGGTGGGAGCTGATTCCACGTTGCGATGAGGGAGTGGGGAAATGAGCGGAGCGTGTTGTTTCGTGCCTGAGGGGGAAGGATACTGGTGAGTTGCGATGGATGATGTGTTGCAGATCTGGTTGTCGCTCGAGTAGGCATGCGGTGTTGCGGTGCGGCTGCTGATGGTGGCAGAATGGCTTTCACCATTTCCGGACCCTCCACAAAGTGCAGCTTGTACAGAAAGCAGAGCCCTGCTACGGTACGGCGAATGTCGAGGCTCGGGAGGTATGATCCATCTCCAATTATGTGCAGGGCACGGCGCTGGATGGCAGTGAGGCGGGCCAAGGTGGTGGGGGCTGCGCTCATCCACACCAGTGTAGTATCCCTGCTTTACAGTTAACGCATGACTAGTACTTTGCATGACTCTTATAATTACTCTTGTTACTACTTTCGGACAAGTCCTACATCATGTACCTCACATATGATTTGATTACATCAGGAGTACCGCGCTTCTAGAAGATCCTAGATCTTCCATGCATGCTGCTGTCATCACTTCTAGTATCACTTCCTTTTAGTTACTAGTTGGTACAGTCATGACTCATGTACACATGTATCATTGTATGTCATGTTGTTCCGGACTATTCCAGACTTTCCACGTCATATGCCCGATGAGTAATGTTGCTGACTAAATTGCATAATATAGATATCTCACCTTCTAGAATACCTCGCTTAGTCATTATGTTAATGTTACGTAATGCTCACTTCATCTACCTGTATAGCAATGATGATCTAGGTTTGCCTTCTCCACTATTCTAGAACTTGTACTAGAAGGATGATTTCGTAATCACTGCAATGGCTTACTAACCTTACTTTCCTACCGCCGCCTGCTTTGCTATACATACTTTGCTTGCCTATAAAAGCTGCTGTCTTTTCTGCCACCATGAGATTAGCTCAGATTAGAGCTGAGAGCAGAGATCAGAGAGAGAGCAAGTTCACTTTCACTTTGATATAAGATAACCTCCAGGCCGTGCCGGAGTAAGTTCTGATACGTTACTGTAGTTGACTGACTGTGGGTAGTAGCCTCCTAGCCTCGCCGACGCACGTTACATTGGTGCCAGCGGTGGGATACGTTACATTGGCGACAGCGGTGGGATACGTTACATTGGCGGCAGCGGTGGGTCAATTTTATAATTGCTAGATTCGAACCCACCTAGTATCTGTATTGCATCGATGGCAGCGGCGCTACAGAATTGATGGCAGCGGTAAATTGGTACCAGCATGGCCCAACCCGATGCGTCAGTTGCCGCTACTCCTTCGCCCGCCATGTCTCCCCCTAGCCCGAAATGATGACGGACAGCGTCTCTACCGATCAAGCTCCATATCCAACGTAAGCTAATTCCAGGTATGGCATTCTCTTTCCTGTCTTCCTTCAGTCCTTCTGTTCTCTTCAGTCTTCCTTTATGCGAGTGAGTGAATCCAGTTTAGTCCGGTAGGCGTCCGATCATGGTGAGCCACGGTCTACCTAGCTAACCTGGGACAATGTGTGTGAGAATGCCCTTGTGTACTCAGTTCGGCTTGGAACTGCGATTTGGCTGGCAGGTTGTGCCAGGGTTGTGCAGCAAGTGAGCTGTAGTTTTTTTCGGTCCTGTTTGGAGGACAATATTCCCTTTTTGACCCCGTGAGATGGTGAGAACCTGGTGTGCTTCTATTTTTTGATTTATTATCAGTTCAGTTCTTCTGTCTACTCTAAAAATGTTATCATTTCCGATATTACTTGCCATATTCCGGTTGACGCTCTACAAGTAATACGCTATCTACTATGACGTTCACACCGCCTCCTATGATCTGCTGCTGAGCTCGAGCTACTACTACTACTACTACTACTACTACTACTACTACTACTACTACTACTACTACTAGTGTCAGTTGTTACCCTTTCGTCCGAATATCAAGCACTCTGTTCAAGATTCAAGAATACATGTACGTGAATGCAAGTTAGTTGTCCAGTCCACCTACTGACGGTGCCTTCTACGTTCTAGTGAGTACTGTTCATCATACATCATCGAACTCTCTGTCAAATCACGAGGGCGTGATTTAGTGTAGGAAGGGAGGGTGTAGTATCCCTGCTTTACAGTTAACGCATGACTAGTACTTTGCATGACTCTTATAATTACTCTTGTTACTACTTTCGGACAAGTCCTACATCATGTACCTCACATATGATTTGATTACATCAGGAGTACCGCGCTTCTAGAAGATCCTAGATCTTCCATGCATGCTGCTGTCATCACTTCTAGTATCACTTCCTTTTAGTTACTAGTTGGTACAGTCATGACTCATGTACACATGTATCATTGTATGTCATGTTGTTCCGGACTATTCCAGACTTTCCACGTCATATGCCCGATGAGTAATGTTGCTGACTAAATTGCATAATATAGATATCTCACCTTCTAGAATACCTCGCTTAGTCATTATGTTAATGTTACGTAATGCTCACTTCATCTACCTGTATAGCAATGATGATCTAGGTTTGCCTTCTCCACTATTCTAGAACTTGTACTAGAAGGATGATTTCGTAATCACTGCAATGGCTTACTAACCTTACTTTCCTACCGCCGCCTGCTTT